TATTATTATTATTTTTCTTCAAATTTTATATTAATTAGCTTTCTCTCTCGAAAAATCACGTGATTTATAAAGTTCGATGATCACTTATTTATTTTTCGAATTTTTTTATTGTTAAATGCACTAATAATAATTATAAATGATAATAATAGTAATAGCTGATAGTTAATGATAATAATATGAAACATTATGTTTCCAAGTTTTCTCTTTTACCATAATTTTATTTTTGAACTTTCGTTAATAATATTGTTCTTTCGTTGATGTTAGTTATTATTGGTTAATTTTATTATTGTTAGAGGAAAAGGAGAAAGAGAAATGGATTGTTATTGATGTCTGAGAAAAGCTGAGATTGACCAAAAAGTAAAAAAGGGATGATAATAATGATAATGATAACTGGTATTTTCGAGATGATTATTATTATTTCTTTATAATAAATTCTTTAATCATTACCATAAAAATCATTATAATCATAACCTGTCATCATGAATGATAAATAAGAAATAGTAAATGGAAGATAATATAGTAATAATAATAATGGATAATTGAATTATTGCTATTATTATCGTTTCATTTTTTTTAATTTACCATGTTTTTTTGGTGATAACAATGAGACAAAATCAAGAAAACAAGAAAATATTTGTGTTTCAGTGAAAATTGCAAAAAAAGAAAAAAAAAGTGCACCGAAAATTTATTGATCTAATTTTGATAATAGTCTGATTGATATGATGATGATATAATGTTGATATAATAATGGCATATATAATCTTCGCGAATATAATAATTGTTATACGATTATATATATGTATGACCTTGATCTGTTTGAATGCAAATTTATATTTAAATTGATGTTATACAATCATAAATTAAAAAATATCGGATTACATTGCGTAAATAAAACGGAAGAAAATGAAATAATTATCTATTACGCATGCATAATATTACATACAGTATATATATTAATATAAATTTGGCTGTAAATGTTGTAATGTTATAAATGTTGTAAATATTATAAATACTTAAAATGTAAAGAAAGATACTGTTATATATTACGTACATACGGTGAATAGTATGCAGATAATATATTTTAATATTTAACTATCTCGTATATAAATAAATTTTGCATTTTATATAATGTATTTATATAAAAGCGTTAATATATATACGAATTCTTGTTTAAATTATTTATATTATAAAATAATTTATATACATATAAAAACTAGTTTCTATACGCCAAAGTTCCAAAAAAGAATTCGTTTATTATTTAAAAGAAAAAAGATGACACGATTAAACAATTAAGGAGTGAAAAAATTATTTATTGATCATAAGAACGATGATAAATAATTATGATGTCATGATAATTATGATGATAACGATTGAAAGGGAAGTATGATAACGATTATTGATATTGGGAGTTTTTATGACGACCCCAGGACAGGTTAGGTTAACCCAAATTAGTTTTTTTTAAATACTGATTAAAGTAAAGAAGGAAAGAAAAAAAAAAGAAAGAAGGAATAAAAGAAAGAAGAGAATGCAGATAAAAGTAATAAATTATAATAATAATTGATTATTGTATATAAAGAAGAAAAATATTATATAAATTATAATTGTGGTACGCGTATTTCTGCATTTCTCGCAAAATATAAAATAGATATAATAAATATAGACAGATTAATTATTTAATTATTACTATTTATTTATTTTATTTATATTTATTTCATTAATTAATTACAAATAAAGGATTGATTATTATATTAGTATTATTGTTATTGTAAATATTAATCTATGATTTTTTAAAATATTAATTAATTAAATTATGCAGTATTTAAAGCATTTAATCGAATTTTTAACGATTTCTTTATGAATAAGCACGTGCTCGCTTTCGACTATTTTTTAAGAAAAAAAGAAGGAAAAAGAAATTTAAGAATAAGAAAATTAATCAGTTTATTATTTATTATTTATTATTTATCATTTAAATTAATTTATTTTTTTTTTATCACCAATGGAGTCTTGTCCCAATAATAGATTATGTGTAAATCTTGAGGATACAGATAATTTAATTTAAATTGATTTTTATTATTGTTATTTATTATAATTTATTATTATATATTGAATATTAGAAATGATATAATTAGTAATAATACTATTATCATAGTAAGTTTTAATATTATACTATCAATTAATTAATTGTAACAGTTTTTTTAATTTTCCGGAGAAAAAGATCTTTACAATAGAATAATAGAAGAATTGGGAAATCAAGGCTGAAAACATAATTCCAGAATCATCATTTTATTTTTAATTACGAATAAATTTAAATATTAAATTTAAATAAAGAATTTTGAATTAATAATAAAATATTTATATTCAATGATAAAAAAGAAAATGTTAGTGGCTGAACGTAAAAAGAGGAAAAAGTAATCACAAACACGAAATCGAGTGCGTACGCAAACTTTTAATAATTTTTTAACAGTTAGCAACATATAAAAAAAGAGATAGTGATAAAAAATTTCGAGCTAACATTAATGGCAATGATCAAAGGAGGTTTTCCCCCTTTGGTAATTAAAATAAATAATAAATTGTTGAGAACAATAACAAATCAAACCTGAAACACTAAAAAAATTTTAATTGTAGGTTATTTATGGTGAGATCATAAAGATGAATAAAAATGTACTTGGGTAATTGGAATATAAATCTCAACGACCGAAAAACGTTACAAAAAAAAAAAAATAACGTAAACTGTTTATTCGTTATCCTTTTTTTTTGAACTATAATTAACACATATCATATTAAAAGTCAAGTTTTTAAAAACTTCATCAATCACAAGTGATGATCTTAATCCAAATTTATCGTTGAATGTTATTGTGGTAGTGAAATTTGGTAATTGAATTCCCATTATTAAAATCATTATTTCGTTTTGTCATTATATTACTATACTAAAATCCAATATTACAACAATAACAACAATAACAACAATGAATGGTTTTTAGTAGGAAATTTTCAAAACTTTATATCATACCAGTGATCACCATACCTCGTACCGCAGGGGGTTAAGATTAGGAATTTTCAGGGGCAGCGTATTTATCGCCGTTTGTCACGCCCATCGAATATCAATTTTTATTGTTTTCCTCAAGCAGAAACCATATTTGTCACAACCTAATTTTTGTCACATAACTTGCTCGTGAAATAATTTCTAATCACCTGGTCTCCATGTGTCTGAAAATTAAATCTTGTGTTTTATTTTTATTGGTTGAAAATTCACAGAATTTAAAAACGTTCTTTTATTTTTCTGTTATTAGATTTGATTTCATCATTGTATCAGTATTAATATTAATATTAATGTTAGTACTAGTATTAGAACACTCAAGTACAATTTTTTTAAGGATTAACAACAGAGTATTCCCGATTTGGGCACAATACGATCAAGTGTGAAATTGATTTTACTGTAACAATGAAATTTAAAATTTAAATTTATTCGATTGTTTTGATTTTTTTTTGCATGATAATTGTGAAGAAGATATTGGAAAATATTATTAAGGTATATTTATGAATTATATGTATGTAATGTGTATCTATACTATAAAAAAAATCATTCGGAAATATTTGTCCAATAAAAATAAAGGTAATTTTTGATTTAAGGAAAATAGCGTACCATACATTTAAATTTACATTTCGTGTTGTGGAATTGCCATTGTTATTCGTTTAATTTTCTTTTATTTATTTTTTGGGGAGGACGAATAAGCGCGAGTGCATATATAAATATGATAGAAATTGCATGGATCCAATCAGAAAAAGGAAAAGAGAAGAAAGAAAAAGGGAGAGAAGAAATAAGATACATTTAACGATAGATTCGTTAACAAAGTTATATGGAATTGATTAGAATTCATTGCACTAAGATAAATAAAGGTTGAATAAGCGATGCAATTAAATGTATAAAATGTATACAAATGTATAGAATATAATCAAATTTTATTATCTCATCTCAAAAATAAATTTTATTGTCTATGTCCGAAATAGAAGAATGTAAGAAGAAAGTTAGAGTTATATTACAATATCGAGTTGTTGGTATCATCAGATTCACAAAATTATTATTTGTGTGTGTGGATGCCAGTATGCTCTATAACACTAAATATTTCATTTTTGCTATTTTTGATATTTATGATATTTACGCTATATTTATGTGTATGCAGAAGAAAGTTATCAAAAAAAAAAAAAAAAACTATCTAAAGATATCAATTTGGTAAAAGTAACAAACTCGGTTAATTTTGCAAAAAAAAAAAGTAATCAGGTTGTACGAAAATCAACCAACATCCAGCATTTCGATATCCGGACATAATAGAAATCTTACTATATCCGAAATAATGATTGTAAAAAAATATAAAAATAAAAATTAGTATTGTTTCCTTTATTTTCATATTGAATATATCACCTCCCTTACATAGAATGTAATAATAAATTATCAAGAATTGGGAAAATAAATAAATGAATAAAACTGAAACATCAACTGATCACTTTAAAAGGCTACAACGAGAAATAACAAGAAATACAATAAACAAATATTTTATTTACATATGATATGCAATATATTTATTTACATATAATATATAATATACATCTTATACATACGCATCCGATGAAATTACTAATAAATTAATAATAAAATAATAATAAAAATAATTATCTAAATAATAATTAATAAATAATTCTAAAGTAAAATAATATTAAATTAAAATAAATTAGAATAATGTAAAATAAAGTAATGTAAAAGAAAAGAAAATAAAATAAAATAGGTGATTGTTGTGTGCCCACTTTTACCAAATTTGATCAATTTTTGACGGAACATATATAAATATCCCTTTCCTTTCAAGAAATTTATTTATTTTTTTCTTCTCTCAAAAAATATACATAGCCCATTGGAAAAAAAAAAAAAAAACAAATTTAAGTTCATCGTCCCCGAAAAAAATTTATTTATATATAAAATATATATAAAGTATAAAATATAAGTAACAATGACTCTAAACGTTACAAATCCATTCGATAATTACATTAAAATCAAAAGTCCCAATCGATCCGATTACGAAGCTTATAGCTCAAAATGTTTCTTTTCTTATCCTCCCAATGGTACAGAATTTCAAACGGGTTACCTCGGTATTGGTCCTTCCATAGTTTCCGGTAGATTTCACTTACTTTATCCTAAAAATCGTTCAATAAATATTTCAAAAATTACTTTGGCTTTAAAAGGAGGTGAATATTGCGAATTAGATTTTGTACAAACTGTAAATAATACCTTTTTTGAATCGAATATCGTTCTTTGGTCGTCAGCAGGTTACGACAATAATAATAATTATTATTTTGACCATAATAATAACTATAATAATAATAATAGTGAATTAGTTTCAGAACTAGATCTTAGATTCACATTTAAACTTGACGACGATTTACCTCCTTCCTTTACTTATAAAAATATAGCAAATAATGTTTTAACTTGTGGAGTCACATATATGTTAGAGGCTACTATATATAATAATAATGGTGTTCATAAAGTGATTAGATGCATTTGTCCAATCACAAGATGGAGTTTACCATGTTTAGTCAAACAACCTGAATCATTAACTCGACCTAAATATAATAATCGACGATGGAATAAATTAACTAATTTTGGTGATGGCAGTGGAGGAGGTGGAAATGAAATAGAAGATATTATTTATGATGCAAAACTTGAAAATAAATCTTATAATATTGGATCAACTTTAAATCTTTTAGTTTCATTAATTTTGCCCCCTACTTTTGCTTCTTCAATAAAAGAGGTGCGATTAGGAATTAAAGAATATCAAATTTTACAAGATTCTGGATATTGTGTAAATTTATCAAAACATAAGGTTGCCCATAATGTATATAAAGGAAAAGAATTTATTAAGGATGTAATAGTCGATGAAAAAGATAGTGTCATTAAAGAAAATCGATATTTATTAGATTTGGAATTGAAAATTCCGACGTATGATATTATTCCAGATTTCGAAAATACTCGTGAACTTAATCAAATTAAATTAAAACATCAATTAAAAGTTAGAATTAAATTTGGTAGATTTAAATCTTTAATATTAAAAGGTGAAATATTAATTAAAAAGTCTTTGAGCGAAAAGAAGCTTGATTTGGCAATTAAAAATGGAATGATTTGTGATAAAACATAATTAACCAACTTCAAAAATTATCAACGACATCACTAACTTTCAATAAACTTTGATAGTTAACAAATAACAAATATGAACATTCAACAATCAACAAATTTTCCTTATTTCTTTAGAATACACATTTCAAAAAGAATTTTATATAGAAGCTTTTTGTTTGATTAACTATTTGAAATATTTACGAATGCGAATATGATTTATTAGATTTTTTTTCATTCCTCTCCGATTCACACAACTCATCCAATTCAAAATATAAACATTCATTTTTTTTATCATATTTCACATTAAATTATGGGGTAAATCTATTTGTCACCAGTGGTGATTGTCACCACAGGGCAAAATTACATAATTCCCTTTCCCTGATCCTGAGCCTAACCTTAACTTCGTTAATTTTGCCCAATGGTGACTATCACCAGCGGTGACAAGTATATTTTTTTTAAATTATGTAAATTATGTACTGTTGTATATTTTATAAATAAACAAAAAAAATTTTTTAAATTTAAATAAAAATAAATATAATAGATATTTTATTCATCAAGTGACCAAACCTATTTTAAAACATTTTCAATACATATTTAAACGTAAATTTACTTTCATGCATTAAAAAATTATTTATATATGATTTACATAAATTTGCCCCAAAATTGAATAATTTAGTGCCGATCTCTCATGTATCACGACTCATGTTCTACAATTTTTAATATCATCCAAAAAAAATATTACCATTTCAATAATTAAAATACTTAATCTATCATCCAAGGTTATATATTTATGAGAATTCATCTATTAATCGATTTATAAGTAATTATCTTTTAGAATTTTTATTAAGTCATTATTTTTTTTTGGATAAGAAGTGAGGCATCTGTCCTTATTTAGATTTGTCAACCTATTAGTTTTTTTTAGCAGTTCAAGGAGTAACTTTCGTGCTTCGAGATTGTTGAGGTGGGGTAATGGTATAAGGTGGGTTTACAGAAGATAGGTGAATGGATAAAAAGATTTTCCGCTGAGTGCGACGAACAAATGGTGAAGAAGATCATAAAATACTTAGCAATTTGAATTTTAAACAATTTGAAACAAATTTAGCGACTTTTATTAACACAATGGTTAAACTGTAAACATGCGTGTACATCCTCTTACCTTATTTTAAATAAAAATTGTCTTTAAATTTTTTTTGACAAGTTATTGTCTCACCATCCAGAGAGACGTTATAGGTAATGAAAGTGAGATTATAATGTAATCTTTGAAGTTGGAAATAAGGAAAAATCTTTTACAACGCATTCAAATGCATTTCGACTTATTTCTGTAAAGAGTTAGAAAATATTCAGCCAAACAAAAGTAATATGCTCAAATTTTGATTTTTTTTATTATTTAATATATTTATTTATCATTTTATATATTTGTTTATTAATTATTATTTGATGAATTAACTTACAAATTAGAAAGCTTCTCATTGATACTAAAGCTTCTTGGTTAAAAACCTACTTTTCTCTTATTTATCATACTATTTTAACGAAAACAACTTTAAAAAATTAGAAAATTTATTGTGATGATGTTATTACAAAGCATCCAAGTCTTATTTTTGAAAACTTAGATTTCACTTCTCTTCCTTAGTATCTCTTCTCGAGCGAGATGATTTGCAAGTGGAAGAAGTTTAAATTTGAGATCATGTCATAAAATGGAGAATTGTTCAAAATCCTACTCTGCCTCAAACCTCGAAGAATGGTCCAAGGAAAACTTTCTTACTTTAAAAACCACTTTTCATAACTAAAATACTGAATTATTGGAAAATTATGCCTTATAAAAGGATACTAGATGATAACTTCGGAAAGATATTATTTAGCATATGATAATTCCTGGCCAACCAGTAAAATCCGATATTTTAAAAGCTAGATCAACTAATTTCTGAAGAACATGCTGAAGAACGTGCTGCAGAAATTTCTAGCTACTTATTCAACGACGAATATCGCATACAGATTTGAATTTATTTTAAGTGGAATTAGTCTCACCAAAAATTTTGGAATATTTGCCATTGTCATACTGGTAGTAAAAGTTAAAGGGGCTGATGAGATACTTGAGGCTATAATACTTTAGCATGAGATAATACTTATGCTGGTTCACTTGGTTTCTGGATGAAAACGAACGATAGATTCATTTTCTCACTAAAAAAAGGTACTGTTCAAGATTCTGAGTAAAAGACCCGAAAGAACAGATTCAAAGATCGTCAAAAAATGGATGGCTCACATTTCAGAGATTTTTACTTACTTTAGATAGTATGAATACTCATGTTCATTATTCTTTTCTATTGTTAGTTATGATGTATTTAAATAATTAAGAAAATGCTTGGAAAAGTTGGTTTACATGAAAAATAAATTAATAATGGATATATTTTCCATTTTTTTAACTAAACAATTTTATTTATAACAAATAAAATCAAATCTATCAAATTAAAAGCATAATCTGCGTTTTCTTTTATTTTTAATTTATACACATATATTTACATATATTTTTTAATTGAATTCTCGCAAAACTTAAAATTTTTTGACTTTTATATTTCTAAGTTGAAAAAATTTATTAAGATTAAATATCCTAAATACAAATATTTAAAAGATAAATTAATTCAGATTTTGTTTATTCATAATTCATATTGAATTCACGGAAATACATCATATTAGACATTTTTTTTTTAAATCCAACAGAGTCTCGCTCCAATAAACTTTATTAATAAATTAGGTGTAAATTTTAAAGATACATATAATTTATTTTACATTTATTGAAACTGACTAAAAATAACATTTTACGGTCTGACTCATCATTGCCTAAGTGTAACCTCAGGAACTGATGGCCAAAACCCCATCAGATGTAATTATTATATATATAACTATAATTATTATTATATTTGCATCCTAAGTTAATCCACATTCTAAATTTATGTATTGTGTTCTTTTCTATTTGTTCTATTTTACTGTATTTCCCTTCATTAGTTTCTACTAACTTTATACTGTCATTATATTCTCTTATTTCCCTCACCTTTTTTAAATTAGTTTTTCCCTTTTTTTTTCTTTTTCAATCTATTTGTAATATTATTTTTAGCTTCCCATAGTGCCACTTTTTCACACTGTTCCTTCTAGTATTCTTTTAAGTACTCTTTGAAGTTAGCCATTCCTTCAATAATTGCTTCCTTGGTCCTTTCTCTAGATTTCAACATTGATGTAACTTTGAATACTAATTATTGTGATATGAATCCCTTGATTAATTCGTGTAATGTGATACCTTTTTTTACCTGAACTACTGTTGGATGATTTTTTCTAGCATTTATACGCGCGAAAATTTTTTTTTTATAAATTAATAATGATAAAAAGAATCAAAAAAAAAATTTTATTCATTTAGAAAGGGTAAAAAAATTTGAGAAAATTAATTACATCCATGGATAATTATAACATCAACTGGTACATCGAAATTCCATACTAAGTATTTCTTTGATTTTTATTGACTCTATACATTGTTACTACCTGGGAGAGCAAGCTTTACTAATTTATAGTGGTTTAGCTTGGTAGTGAACTTGTGTTGGTTAAATTATGTGAA